CAAAGCGCTTCTGCTCAAGCTTTATCAGGCGGTCCTGCAGGATAGCAGCTCTTTGCATCCGATCAGGGGAGAGCTCCTCAGGTTGCTGAGGGCCCTCGCTGTGGGGCTGCTGGAGGGTTTCTCTAAGATCACTCCTCAGCCTCTCCATCCTTTTCTGCATTTTAGGGATCTTCTCTTTGGCACGTGTTCGCGCCGCCTGGATCAGCTTGTGTTTAAAGTTTGCGTATAGCGTTTGCGGGTTCCGTTCTGGTGTCCTGGCGGTCAGGCCGTTGATGTCACGGACCAGTTCAGCTCCGAGCGTTATCATTGTCTTCTTCATATCCTCATCCTCCAGGAGATGCGGTTGCATGACCCAGCGGCCTTTCCCTATAAAGGGTGCTTTGTAATTCTCCACTGCCACCACCACCATCAGGTGGTCAGTTGGTATCCCTGGCTCTACGATGCTCCAGTCCGAGCAGTCTCGGGCCATTGCACGGCGGACATATATTCTGTCCAGCCTTGACTGGGCTGAGGTACTTTCCTGGAGGTACGTGAAGCCCTTTTCCAGGGGGTGGGCAGGTCTCCATCCATCAAGAAGTGTGTGTTTGGCGCATAGGGCTTGCAGGGCTTCCCGCGGTGCTTCTGGGTCCTCTCGGGGTGGAAGCCTGTCCGCCCTATCTTCAACTACATTACAATCCCCCAGCAGTATGTCTATTCTTCCCAGGTTTGCATCCTCAATGGTCTTCCAGAAGTTGGCATTTGCTGCGGCCTCGTTCGGGGCATATACGTTTAGGATTTTAAGTGTACGGTCCGCGGCCCACCGCACAGTGGTCAGGATCGCCCTCCCCGGCACTATTATACGTACTGTCGGGGAGCAGTCTTTCAGGATTCTTTTGTTTACCACGGTGGCAACACCCCGTGCCCCAGTCGCATTAACGGGGTCTGGCGAGTACATGATGTCCATATTGCGCTCAAAGACACCTTTGAGCAAATTGGCACGCCTGTCATCTAGGTGCGTTTCTTGGAGTGCAAGAATTGCGATCTTCTGGTCTCGGACTAGTTGGTTGACAAGCATCCATTTGCTCGATCCATCTAGGCTACTCTCCACACCAAAGCCACGCATGTTGAGCGAGGCTATCTTAATTCGGGCCTTCGAACGTGGCTTACGGGCACCACTCTGTGTCTGTACTCGGTTCACCGCATCCAAGGCCCCCCCCGACCCATGCGCCGCAGGGGGACCGTCCGGCCGCAGGGGCTCATCCCCAGTGTCCTCAGTCACTCGGGCCCGGGGTTGCTCCCCCGCAGCCATCAGGTGTCTCCTTCCCCCCACGGCACTGCCGCCGTGTTCGCCGCCGCCATCCTCGGTGCCGTGGTTGGCAGGTGGGTCCCTCGCACCTCCAGCAGCGTCGAGGCTCTGACCATTTGCCGGTAGAATATCCTGTATGATTGTGTCTGGTGATTCATTGTTGTTCGTGGCTGGTAGCTGTCCCGTCTCGTTTCAGCCAAGGCGGACGGTCAGGAGGCATATCCCGGCCTCCGCGGTCGACTATGCACTTGGTGCATTCCCGCTTCCTTCCGCAGCGGTTCAGCACAGCTGGCTTCAGCTTCTCAGCACGGCACGTCGTGGCCTAAATAGGCCGCCGTTGGGGTGTTGGCCCCTGGGCTTTCCTGCGCTCAAGAGCCAGTATATTTGGGCGCCAGGGGGACCTTCACGCACAGCAGGGTGGCGGGTGCGGATCCCGTTCTGCACTGCGTGTTCCGCGTGTGAATGGGGCGGTCACTATCCACTCACTTTCCAGAGACGTGTGCCAGGTTCCAGTTCAGCTCCTTGGGATATCGCTTCCTTCATTGGGTTTCCTCAGTCGTCGTTCCAGCGTTCGCCCAGTTAGGGCAGCGGGCCAGTCTAGATCAGACGCAGTCATGCTAGTCAGAGTCCCAGCCATTCATTCGCAGTGTGGCGCATTGAGCATTGAGAGAGGCGGGGGTCTGCGCCCCGTCGCACGCTCATGTGCTTGCCGAGTTCGCAGCATGCAGGTGATCACGGGGAAGCGCTCATCATGCGTATCGCTCACAGGCAGGCATTCGCCGCACTCTCGCAGGACGCTGGGCTCGTTCGGCGGCGCTCATTCAACGCGTGTTGTTCTTAAGTCCGCCTCGCTGAGGGGCGGCGTTAGGGCACATCGCCATGCGTTTCTTGTAGTCTATGCACGCTCATTCTCGTGTACGGTGGTGAGCAGCACGGGCACACCCTTCTTCAGATTCGGGCGCGT